CATTCGCGCGTAGACTAAATGGTCGCCGATGGTTGCTGGGCGCGCGTATTTGTATGTAAATAATTGATGAAAGAAACAAGGTCGTCGATGTTTATGATTATATTTAAGCGACAACACTTTCAATTCACAATCTCGTACCCTTAAGTCTCTGAGAAAGCGACTTTACTGTATTAATAATCGCGCGTAAGCTTCGATATCTTCGATACATTAAACATATTCCACGTAATATCGTAGTGGTTAATCGGGTCAAAGATGAAGTTCCGTGGAGAGGAGGAGAAATTTCGGCTATGAGCAAACTCGTCGAGTACAGAGGTATAAATAACCACTAAAAGACATTATCGATCGTCAGTCTGCATCGCTCTCCGCCCTCCGCCCTCCGAGCTTATCGACTCGCGTTAATCGATAAATTTATCGAGATAATGGGCCGCAGGATAACGGAGAGAGGTGTGACCGACATTGGAGCGCGAAACGATTGTAAAATGCTCGTTGGTAGGAGAGAAGCATTTGCACGTGGAGGCGAAGCCTATGACACTCGGACCTAACGACTATAAAAGGTATTTAATACAGAAGCTGCCGAGTCCAAGGCAATTCATTGCATTGAAATAGCAAGGATGGTTGTGGGACGAGGGAGACTTGTAAAAGCGAGGGCGGGAAGCGTCCTCGGGGCCCGCGGGGCGCGTCACGTCACCGACTTCGAAGCTCGAGGGCCGGGAGATTGGTGGCGACGGACGAATGTCGGACGGACGACGGACGGGCGGCGGGCGGCGGGCGGCTGCACTCACTTGTCTGTTGGCCTTGATCCGCTTGTAGGTCTCCCATCTGCCTATTGGTGTCCCGTCGGCCGCCGAGGGCGTGTGCAGCAACTGGCCGTGGCCGTGCTCCGGGGCACTCGCTGGCAATCCGGACCTCGAGGGCCTTGGCCGCGACGAGGCCGAGGAGAGCTTGAAGAGCCGGTCGAGCTCCTGGAGGAAATGCTGCTCTAGCTCCTGGGGCCTCACTGTCACACCGCAGACTGGGCAGCAGGTCGGGTCAGCCGAGAATTTCTTCTTTCCTGCAAGGCCAAGCGTCGATCGCCCAATGTCATTAATGCATTCCCATGCGTGTGCGACCCCGTGCCCGTTATCACAGGCCTTGGGGTGGGTGGTGATGGTTTTGTTTGGGTGGGTTGGATGTGGGGTAGGGGTACGGGGTAGTGCTGAGGGGGGGGGGGAGATGGAGATAGAGGGTCGAGGTTATCCTCAGTCATTTGCCTCCGGGTCTCGAAGCCCATTCCCGAAGCTCGCGCATTCGTTTGGCCATCCGGGTTTGTTTTGAAAATAGGGGTGCAGAGAGGAGGCGGAAAAGGAAAGAAACGGTAAGGCAAGAAGTTCGTGTAATTTCCTTTGACGAGACGCGTATGTGTAATAGGCGAGGGAGACGAGCGAGGAGTATTGGAGTGCTTCCAGCGAGGATCGGCCAATCGTTTGTTTGTTTGTTTGATTGTTTTTTTTTTTTTTTTTTTTTTGTTTATCTGTTTTGTTTTTTTCAAGGGAAAGTGCTCGCTCGCGCGAACACATCTCTGGCGTCGGTCGTGTCGACAGTACGGAAGATGCATCGTCGGTCGGCACAAAACACCGGAAATCCTCGCGTATTATGCGTATTATCCTCCCTCTCAACCTCCTGACTATTTTTACAGGCAGCGGCCACGTACGTGGTACTCCTTCCCCATCGACATCGCCTCCTCGTGCCTCTCATCGTTCCTTGTATCCCTTCTCTCACATTAGCCGTGGGAGGGAGACGTAGGAAGGGCAATAAGATAGGTTGAAGGAGCGTAAATTTGGTTTCGTGTAAGGCTACGAGTCTCTCCTTCGATTTTCAACACTCGATGGTAATTACGATTTTTTTTTTTTTTTTTGTACGTATCGTGTGATTGAGGGCCATGGGAACGGGCGAGGGGTTGAGCGGAGACGGGGGAGAGAATAAGCAGGGACTTTTCCATTCAAAGTCGACCAGCGTGATTTAACGTTTCTTCGCACCCGACTAACTTATCGTCCATTCACGATGTGCTCTTGGGCCTTTATTTTAGAATTTGATAGAAAATCACCGGCAGATTCTTTAAAGTGTCGTTATTCGGTTTCTTCAACTCTCTTTTACAAAATAATTGATCGCTTTCAATTTTTTACTCCCCCGAAACGTGCAAATTTTCAATCACCGAATAAAAAGTGTAGCTAACATTATATACGTCACTCCGACTGTTAGTTAAATACATTAATGTTGAAATAGCTTTGGGTCTTTTTGTCATTGGGCTGCGCACGTGATGAAATCATTGATATGGACCGATGCACTTTTGATTAAAAAATCAGTTTTATTTTCATTTTTTATTATTATTATTATTATTATTTTTTTAATTAAATTTATCACGTGAGATTTTTCGGGACGGCGCTTCTCTGTATTAGACATGTGATTTTCCATGCTACAAGAGCGTTAGGAGAAGTAGATTTTGTCTGGAGTATTACAGAGATTATTTTACGACTCATTTTGTTATTGTAGAGGCAGGTATGCACTAACACAGATGGTTTAATGACTCTTTTCACATAGCTAGAACTCGAGAGTTGAAGGTAAAATCAAAATTATTCAATGAATATTCCTTTACCGAATTGTTTAAACAAATACTCCATTTTTTATAAAAACGAGCTTTGCTAGTAATTTTTATTATGGGAGTAACATTGCAGCCAATTTTTAACGAATGAGTACGATAAAACGTTATGTAAAACTAATAACGATTCATAAAAATGAAAAAATTAATTAAAACAAATTCTTTTTGCATTTTTTTTTATTTGTCTGTTTGTTCGTTGGTCATCGATCATCCATATTTCTTTTTCATATTTTCACACGCCTACTAGTGTTGGCATTTGTAAAATTACGCATTATTTCCAGCACGATTATTGCTTATAAATTAACGACGATTTAAATCTTTATAGCGATATTGCAAATACAGCACGTCCAGCCCATCACTATGTTACATTTGACAAAAGCAATGGGGAATAAATTTTTTTATGCCCGGCCATTTTTGTAATAATTATTTTATCGCGGCATGCATAATTTATCATTAGACACGTACGAGGGCCGTCCGTTAAAAATGCGTTGAAATAAAAATTTTCGCAACGTCACTCCGTCCCCGCGCTCCGACGCTGTTCGCTTTTGTTTATACAAACAGAGTCGAACAGAGTCCGCTCTCGTTATCGATTAGGACGCGCGCGTTATGGCCTCGACTTATTATCCGCGCAGGGCGCGTCGTTACGATCGCCCGGGTACGTCCCGCGGATAATCCTCGCTCAACGTGCGAGACCGTCCTATCCAGTCCCGAGACAAAGCTCGACGAGACTCGACGAGTGTGACGGGTAATCTGTCCAACTCTCGGCCCCAACATCTCTGGCAAGATGTATCTCGGCATTAGTGGGCGGTGGTCCAGGGCGCGGGTGAAAGGCGATGAAGGTCGCGTCTCGTGAGAAGCCTCGCGAGTCAGCGACTTTGGATGCCGATTGAGCCTGGTTGAGGTATAGCCTGGCGAAGCGGGCCGGGGCCGAGGGGCGAGCGGAGGCAGGGAATCGTAAAAACGACTCGCACGGCTCTTAGAGGTCGATTCGTCGTCGGGCAGGAGTGAGATGCCCGGCTACTATTCTTCTCCCACCTACTTCGTTTATTTGCGGCATTCCCTAGCCGTTTAACATATCCGCGTCTTCTTCCGCGCGGCACGCACGCGGCCAGCTTTATCCGAGTAGCGGGAGGAACTTCTTTGTCCTCGGGCTATAGAAGTCGAGCGTCGGTCGACGGGGACCCAGGGGGTAAGGGACTTTCACCGTCCCTCTCATTCTACGACTATTCTTTCCCCTTTCAATTAAGTGCCCTCGCAAATTTATGTGAGCTCGCGCACGCCACTCCACTCGATGTTCCCTTTGGCCTTGCAGCTAAGGACCGCTCGTAGAATGAGCGAATGAAAGAAAGAAGGAGGAGGCGGAAAGGAAGAAAGAAAAGAAGGAAGGAAGTAAAGAAGGAAGGAAGGACGGAAGAGGAGTGTTTCGATACATGCGAGCCCGAGGAAATTTCCCCGAGGCATTATTCGTTCGATAAAGATCCTAAAACGACGCTCGACGTTTCTAATAAGCAAATCGTCCAAGATATATGTGTATAGAGATAGAGATAGAGAGGGTGAGTGTGTGTGTGTGTGTGTGTGCGTGCGTGCGTGCGTGCGTGCGTGTGTATGCGTGTCGCATGCGTGTGAAAACATTTTAGTCTATGGCAAGGGGGTGGAAAAATGTTTGACAACATAAAAAACAAACATTGACGATAACATTGAATATAATAATGATCATGATCATGATCATGACGATGACGATGATTATGATGATGGAGGGAAAAAAAAAGGACTTGAACTAAAGAATAATATCGGGGATGAGCCTTGATATTCCCACGTTTCTCTCCCCGTGGCACTTTTCCAAACTCCTTGCTCTTCATTTTACTTCGCATACATAGTATGGATATATAGTTTGGTGGGCGAGAGGAGAAATGGCCATGTGCCGGGGATAGGCAGTAAGTAATCCTCCAATAATAAGAATCAGAGTGGCCGTTTACGGTTAGAGACTGCCATTTCTTTTCTCCCGACTCGCTCGTTTATTCGCGCAATTAAAGAGAGATGCCAAGAGCGGAGGCCAACGCGAGCAGTAAGACGAAGCAGGTGGCTAAGCCCCGAGCTCTTTATCTTTTTTTATCTCGTTCCTCCTCCCCGGGGCCGAACGGACGCAGTTTCGCGGGCTATCTACGCCACGAAGGCCATAACGGCCCTATCATTTATACGGTCGGACCCCTCCTAGGCTGCGGGCGCAACGTCATCGCGTTCTGGGAAAGCGTCGGTGAAAAAGGAGGGAAAAAAGTGCGGCCATTCGTACGTCTATCCTCGCGCGCGGAAGATAGACCGACGCGTAATACCCGCGGTATATGCCGCCGTCCCCGCTGCCTCTTTCCATTTTAATTAAAAAAGAAGAGCGGCTGCGGGGTATCTCGATACTTAAACAGCTACTCCGGTTGATATAACGGGCCGATAAGCCCGGGCGGGGGTGACGGGGCAATCCTCGCGGGTGGCTACTTTATTTCGTCCCGATGAGTGCGCGAGGACGTGCGAACGAGGGACGGCGGTTGGGTAAGGGGGAGAGGATGGAGAGGATGGGGGGGGGGCGACGGTGTCACGTCGCGTGCTATGCCCACGCGACGACGATAACGGATACGACAATACGGACCTTATCCGACCTCGCGGCAACTCCTCAATTTCTTCATTACACGCCTATTAACGCCCACGGGTGTACAACGTACGCGCGCGCTCCTTATCGACGCCCGAAACGGTCGTTGGAGATAAAACGCGTTTGCGCTAATAATAAATAGAGTTTTTTTCAGAGACACCCAATGGCACGACTATTCCACACGATGGTGGTATTGTGAATTTCGTGAAATAGTGGCGCGCGAGGACGAATGAACGGCTCTTTACGTGTGATCGACGCGTCTAATAATAATTATTGGCTATGTACGGCGCGCCTTGAACATCCTATTGTTCCCCGTAAAATCGCGTGACGTGTACATTACGTCTGCACGAGCGCGCGCGTTACCTAAGTATTAATTTAAATTACTGGCCGACGTTGATTACTTAAGTAAGTATGAATATATTATAATTGTTTGGACATCGTGGATTGGTCGAGCACTGTGGGTCGCGCGAATCCGGCCAAAGTGGAAAAGTTTGAAAAGTCAATTAGTCGTAAGGCTCATTGTCGATTTTCATCGATATTTTTCAAATTCATTGGAGGGTAAGGATTGGGTAATAAAAGGACGTCAGCCCGTTGGCGTAGCAGGATAGGAGCGAGCGCCGATGCATTGGGCATTGCGGAGTTGCGCGAAAGCTTATGGGGTGGGTGCCGCGATTTGGATTCCTGGCGCATCGCTCGACATCTGAATACCTCTTTGATTTAATAGAGAACATCAACGTGCGCGTGGAGAGGAAGGGTGGCGTCGGTCGTGGCCGCCTCG